AGTCCCTCCAGAAGTTCCCTGACTAGATCCTCACTGACCCTAGGCCTGGGTGCGCCTCCCCCGGGGCCTGAGGGGGTCCCGGCGGATTGGCTGATCTGGTCCCTGCTCAGGAAAATGGAGGCAAAGAAATCGTTAAATAGGTTAGCCTTGTTGTTTTGTGCAACAACCAGATTTCCTAGCGTGTCTTGCAGAGGCCCCACGTTACCCGGTACCTTCTTTCTGCCCCCTATGTATTTAAAAAAGGGCTTCTTGTTTTCCTTGATCTGGGCAGCTAGTCCCAGCTCCATCTCCGCCTTGGCCTTCCTGGCCGCCCCCCTGCAGCCCTGAGCAACCGAGGTGTAGTCCTCCCTGGTGATGGCCCCTCCCTTCCATTGGGTGTACACCTCCCTATTAGCTAGGAGATGTTCTGATGTGGGCCATCTGTGTACCCTTCATATTACTGAATGTAAATCACAGATTCACAGAAGTTTAGGGCTGGAAGGGATCTCAAGGGATCATTGGATGCACACCTTGACCTTATGTTGAATTTGTTTGCCCACGTTCAAATTGCTTCATGCCATGCATGAGGTGTACCTGCCAGGAGGAGCTATCTTTGATTGTGTGACTACTCTGTGCCATGTGCCTTGGAGTATCACATTGTGCTGCAGAGTATCATACATGAGCATTTGTGGCTCACACATACCAATAGCAGCTGTTCAGGCAAGGTCATGACATCAATGTTCTAGGACTTCAATCTCCTACGCTTGATAGAGTGGGGAGAGTTAGTCTGTGGGGTTCCCAGTACTGAGGCTGAGAGGATGACTGTCCCCCACCCTCCACCCCGCACTGCTAATAGGGACATCGCCTACCTGCTCCAGCCCTAGCTCATGAAGCTGAACACAAGACACTTGGATACCAGGAAGGAACTATTTAACTTTCTGGAAAACCCTCACTTTGAGGGTGAGCTTTACCATGAATGGGTCTTGAGGTGATTTATGAGACCAATCCTTGTGCTGAAGATCCACCAGCAGAAGTTGCAGGGCTTTCCACAGGGAAGAGTAGGCAGTAGGCTGGGATTCCTCTCCTTTTTCTTCCTCTGCTCTCTCTTCTCAGCTTCAAGGGTAAGATGCTTTACCTTGAAATAGGCTACCACTTGGAGGAGGTTGTGGCACCTTTAGAGTTGACTGGCAGCCAGCTCCTCTCAAATCTTGATGTTGGCATCCATTTCTTGAGGGATGCCTTCCGTTTGTCCTTGTAGCATTTCTTCTTGCCACCATGAGATCTCAGGTCACTGCTAAGCTTGGAGTAGACCAATTGTTTAGGGAGTTGAGACTCAGGCATCTGCACACACCTTCTGGTCCCACAAAGTTGGTGCTTGATGATCGCCAACTCAGTGCAGGTAACGTTGGTTTCAGCAAAGATGTCAGATTATTTGTATGGCAATCTTCTCATTTGATGTGGTGGATATTCTGGAGGTATCATTGGTGATACCTGTTCAGGCTTTTGACATAATGAAGGTAAGCCACCCACATTTCACACGTCTAGAGGAGAGTGGGGATGATGATTGCATTATAGACCTGTATCTTAGTATCTTTCTAGAGATTGCAATGAATAAATACACACCAAAGCAATATTTCTCCTAGGAGGCACTTTTGCATGCCAGATTCTGTGCTAAATCTACTCATCAATGCTCACTCTCTGAAGTAGCTACTGAGGTAGGGGGAGCGTTTGACTATCTTCAGGCTCTTTCTCTTGATGACAGTTTGAGGAGGGGTGTCATGGCCTGGAGTAGGCTGATAAAGCACTCTAGTCTTTAAGCAAGAGGCCTAAAGTTCAGTATGTTTCTGAAAAGAGATCCAGCATGGTCTGGATGTTTTCCTCAGTGTGCAAAAGGATGGCACTATCATCAGCATACTGTAAGTCAAGGATGTTTTTTTTGAGTTCTCTGGTCTTTAGTAAAAACATCCCAGTTTGAAGAGCTCTCCATCCATTCATTTGTGGACAGATGCTATTATTCAGCTACCACCCATTCATTTGTGGACAGATGCTATTATTCACCTCCCCCCTCAGCAACCGCCACATGACTGCGGAGTGCAGCTTTGGGTTCCCTGGGCGCACTGGGAGGCACTGGGACCTGTTTGCATCTCAGTGGCTACGTCTATATGAGATGATGACTGCGCGGCTGTTACTGCACAGTCATTTAATACTTCCATAAACAATCACTAAATGACTGCACAGTAACCAGAGTTATTGCACAGTGGCATCTCTGAACAGCTTTTTTGGTGACGCTGACTATGCAGTAGCGTGGCATCACACATCATGCCACGCAACGCTACTGCGCAGTAGTAACAAGCTACGCAGTCAGCATCTAGTGTAGACGCAGCCAGTGAGTGCTACGTCTCACTTTGTCCTCTCTCTCAGATTTGTTCACAACTTCTGTAAGACTGAGAGGGAAGCTTTTCCTAAGGGTTTTTTTTTTATAATGAAACTGGAGTAACAGGCAGGCTGTTCTGGTGCCCAGTGGCGGAGTGCTCTGGAGGTAGAAGACACCCTGGCATACTTGTGCGAGATGCCCTGGCAAAGCATTTCCAAAGTGGTGGGGCACGGTAGTAAGGGATGGCAGTTGATTATAGCCCATACAACTTTACCTATGCCTTTTATTAAACATTGCCAAACAGAAAACAAACTCTCTTGTGGTTCTTAAGACGAGGAGAAGTTAGGAGATGGACTGCAATTGTGATGCCAACATTTCAGAGTGCAAGGTGGTTAGGGAAGCAATGGGTTGTGATGCATAAATCCCAGGGAGGGGTGACACATGTTTGCTCCTTGCTGAGAGGAAAGTTTTATATTTGCTGTTTTAGCACACCTTTCATTCAAACCCGTGCAAACCCTTTTTATAACCAAAGCGGGCTTTATTATCCATGTCAACAAAACCATGCCTTTTACTAAGTAGCCCAGTTCTTAGTAATCCCATGGTATTTTTTTAACCAAAACATTTTTATTTAATGAGCAACCAAAAAAAAACCCCACCCGAACAAACAAACATACAAACCACCTTTTATTAAGTAAACCAAAATGAAAAAAAAAAAAGAATATCTTCTGTAACCAAGATTTTAATCAACAAATAACTCAAAACGTCTACCTTTCACTGACAAACCAAAGCAGTTCTGCGAGGTACTTATGGAGTACAAAGTGGGGGGAATTGCACAACTCCCATCAAGGCCTACAACACACCCCATTCAAAAAGCACCCAAGAGTGGTGGAGTGCCCCACTACATAGCATTATGGATCCATGGTCATATGCCTGCTGAATGCATCAAAGGAGCTGCTCTCAGGGTGGTATCATGCATTCATTTCCAGCGGTTGCAAATCATTGTTGTATTGTGATATATTAAAGTTATTATGAGTTAGGATGGTGCCATGCAACCACATGCTAAGATTGCAAATCTTTGGAATATAGTGACTTATTCTAGTTATTATAGTTAGGAGACAAACCTCACCTGGAAGAGAACACTTTTGCAATTCCATGGGGACTCTTAATGTGAGCTAAATGGCTGAATTGCTCATGTTTTAAGTTGAATGTGTGACACCACCCTTACTCTGCCGTTGCAGTGCTGTACTACCCTGCTTGTGAGAAAGTTGGAGGGTAGAGCTGGGGAGGGGTGCGATTTTCTCCAAAGAATAAAAAGTAGTCAGCAGGACAGAGGCTGCCTGGCTCTGACTGGGTTCCAGAGATTGCCCCTTGGGAGTGGGGCCAGGAAAGTGTCCTAGGAAAATGGCAACCTTTTTGTTGGCAGCGGAAGAGCCACAGGAATAGGCCAGCTCTGGACCCAGCTCATCGCCAGGGTGAGGTGCTTGGGCTTGGGAGTAGGGGGTCCCGCTGAGGCTGGGCATAGTTTCCCCAATAATTTGTAGTGCTGTGAAATCCCTGTGGAGACCCCAGTCTGCTTGGAGATGCACAGTGGAGTACTGGGATCAATTTTTGGGTCATATGCTCTAGGCATTAGTGAGCTATCACCCACCACCACCACCACCACCCAAACAAGAGGCTACAGTCTGCCCCCCACAGAATAGGGTCTGTTCAAAGTGGGGTAGCTGGGTCCACTAGGACAGCTTAACAATCCTCCTTTGAGCAGGGTCCCCTCAGAGAAGGAGGGTCCCCCCCAAAGCCCCTGCATACCAG